AAAAAAAAAAAAAAAAATCTGAAAGTTTAATCATAGAAACGATTGATTTTTTACTTTTTTAAGGGTCTTTGTTCACATGAACGCTTCTACTTCACAAAGAAAACCATTTTATTAAGTTTATGTTCTTTAGTGAAAAACTTCAAGAGGAGATCATTAATGTTTTTAAGCTTTCTTATTGCAAGAATAATATTCCAAATTGTAATCTTTTTGTCATTTATGATCGTATTGATGAATAATCTGATAGTGACAGAAGTATAAGTATGAACTGATGCGAAAATATCAAAAAAAGGGCACTTACTTTAATGAAAATGGGAAAGTCAAATTTGATATCAGCAATATCTTCGTTGTTGACGTCATCTGAACTAAATGTGCCTCGTGTCATTTGCAAGCTGTTCCATCGCTGCGTTTCTTGACCTACGGTGCTTTGCTGTTAATAAATACAACAATTATGGCATCTTTAAGTTTAAATATAAATAAAATGCAATGGACTTTTGATACTTTTCAACTGTGAAGACATAAAATCTGACAAAAATTAAAAAAATTTTAAAATCATAAATTTAAAATTACATAACCTGCACATAAGGGCCGCTTTCTCCGATGCTCTGCAACATCTCACTGCCACCAGCACCCTGTCATTTCATTTAAAAGCCGTAAATAATCGTTATCATTTTTCATTTCATTTTTTCATTTAAAATTGTCATATCTAGACTAAATCATAACTATAAGGATATGTATGAGGTAATAAAGAAGACTCTCGATAATTCAAACCTCGATAATTCGAGGGAAAGTCTGTTTCCTTTGAAAATCTCTACATAATTCGAAGAAAGTCAATGTATTTTTCTCCCCTCATTAATTCGAAATTTTTAAAGTGGCGCGGCCCTCTGTAATGCGAAATTGGGACAAAAATTCTCTCTGTAATTCGAAGTGTGGGAAGTAAATATGGTCCTCCCTCTATAATTCGAAATAAGACGGTACGTTCCCTCTACAATTCGAAGTCAACTGTTTATGTACCTGGGTGTCTGAAAGAGCTGATAGGAACCTCTCCAATTCGAAATTTCTTCACATGAAATCTCTTTCATTCAAACTCTCTTTATTTCGAAACCTTGCTAATTCGAAGAAAAAGCCGATTCCCTTCCATTTTGCATTATCGAGAGTCCACTGTAGCGATTTCTTTTGAAATCTGCAATTTACGAAACTGTATACATTCAAGTGTCACAGAAAATCAAAACTGATTGAATGAATAACTTATTATGATAAAGGAAACACTATCTTACATTGTCTAGAATTTCAAGTTCATAGTCATAGTTGCCAGCACCACCATAAACACCCACTCCAGCAATGACAATACCGACGCGGTCCACTGAAAAGCATATGGCATCAGGAGATCCGTTTCCAGTATTCCATGTTCTCGTAGGGTTGGTTCGACTAAAACGAGAAGGTGTTGTGTACAGTACCCTTCCGCAGCCACCATCTACATCCTCCTATAATCAGAGGAAAAAGAACTTATGGCTGGAAACTTGGAGAAAATGGCTGACAATGATCAAGCAAGGTATGAGAATTAAAAGTTGAAAAGTCTCTGATATTCCTGTACAATTTTCTTTTCTTTTTTTCCTGCCAGAAAATTATATATGTATATTCTACTTTGGATGTTCAATGATTTGAAAATATACCAAGTTTATGATCTCATATCAGGAATGGAGACTATGTTAAAAGAAATAAAAAATTACATACCTTAAACATATTAGAGCAGTGCATAGTATTTTTGGACAGAGAGTTGGTGTTTATATTAACGTACGTTAAGATTCTGTGTCAAAATAAAATTCCCATCACAGAGAGAAAATGCTCATTTAAGCACACTTTTTCCCTCTATAATGAGAATTTCAGTTATACACTGAAGTTTAAAACATGTTGGCAAGATCACCAACACTCTGTCTGAATAACTTATGTGTTGAACCGCAATCTGATTATGGTGTAATATTTTTACATGTTACTTATTTTTTATTACCTTTGAGGCTCACAAAATTAAGCATGAGCTAAGGAAAAGTTGACAAAATTTATAATATAATATAGCCCATCATGATAATATACAATAGAGTTCCAAGAGAGTCATGAAGTCTCATTGACTAGACACAAAACTTACATCAACACCCGTTGTTTGAGCAGTCAATTCAGCGACAACCCTTGCGATGAGTTGACAGCAGTAGTGCGCAAGCTGCTTTGAATGGCTCACTTTTTCTTGTGACAGAGCTTGCATCACAGGTATGTAGATAAGATCTAGGAGCCGATCTAAGACATCTTTGAAAGTCCAAGTGTTCTGCGCTTTGACTCCCTCCAACTAAATTAAATAATAAAATCAAAGTTTATCACCTAAAACAAGAGATCTTGAAAGAATTGAAACTAATTTTCCATTTTTTAAAGATAACCGTTACTAAAAATCTCCTACTTCAGCTCCTAACAAAATTATGTGCAGACTTGATCACTTAGCAGGTTTGTCATTGTTGGATAAGCGTTACAGATCATATTATAATATGCCGCAGACCAGCTTTACCTAACATCATCTCTTTTTTGATGACTTCCGCAGCTAAAACCATACAAATATTTCTCCTTAAATTCTTTAAGAGCAGTTTTTGTTTAAACTTCTATACCTTTATTCTTATTATTCATTGGTTAAATCAAACACGACTTTTAGTTCTCAATTTTTCCTATGAACACAAGCCTTTCTATTCTCAAAAGGCTTGTAACTGTCGTCATACATTCCAGGAGGAAAATATATTTTATACTTGAAATTTTAAGACAAAATTACACCAATACCTGACTCCTGTAACTCATCTGTTCCACCAGGATTGGGTAGTGATGTGTGTCTAAGCAAGGCATCATGGGTAAACCAGAATTGTCAGCTGGAGATAATTGACGCTTCAATGATGACTCGTTGCATTCCATTACAGTTGAAAAAATTGGAAAAGTGGATCGCAGCCGCACGGTAGGATTACAAAGAGCAGCAAACACGGCACTCAGCAGGCGATCATATTTCATCACGCTTACCTGACAGGGAGCGTCAAAAATTAGTCACAAAAAACTCTTGCACTCGATAATTATAAAAAAAAAAATAGACCAGTTCATATATTAAATATTATCATGCATTTATTACAACTTGTATAGTTTATAGAATTACAAAACATTACTCTGATAGGTTACAAGGTACAATTTTTGTTTTAAAGGACCTCTTGGAAGAGGAAAATCTGAAGGGTTTAAATCGTGCACTTCAAATGAGGTAAAACACTATGCTAGAATAAACTTCAAAAATTAAATCAAGACACCATAACAGTTAACTCATCTCTCGAACAAACCGTTATTCTCAAAAGCCTAGGTGTGCCAATTAAAACTTTATGGTCGATCTCGAGATTGAGAGAAGAACAGAGGAAAATCAGAAAACAGTTGTAACTAAATCTTACTCTCTAATGAAAAATAGCTACAATACTTACTTTTTCAGTAGAGGACAAGAGATCACAGAGAGAGGTCCATTTAAGGTAGACAGTCGGGTAGAAAACATGATAGCATGATACAAATGTTTCATGACACTCATCTAAGATTTCTTTTGTCAATTT